TTACTTCAATAAAAGTTAGCAGCTGACAATCCTGTGATCGTTATAACCTTAGTTTAATATCTTGGTATATGGTATAAACTACAAGATAAGTAAATATATATTATAACATAATTTATGAGTAATATGAAAAATTCATCACCTTTCATAACATTTTGCTTAAAATTATTATGTTTGAAAACTCATTACAAAGAATGAAAATATATAAGACAAAAGTATATTACAGCTATGTAAATGTGAACTGAGTACAGGTAAAAAATAAATCCCTAATTCCAAAGAATTATAGTGTAACAATCCAAATGTGAGTAAGCATCTAACAATGGATATTGAACAAATTAACTAAAAAATAATGATATAAATTAACTGAGAATTAATTTTAAAAAGAAATAGAAACTTAAACAATGAAAAGCTAGCAATATGGTTTTGATATTTTAGTAACTCAAAACTAGCATACATATAAAACGAGTAAGAATCAAATTACAGTCCATAGCTTACAGCACACAGAAACTGACTTTGTGATGACATCAAAGATCATGTAAACTCACGTACCTATAATGTAGAAAAATAAATAAAAATCTGAAAGCTTTCAGATTTTACATTATGCCCAAAGGGGCTTTTTTTTAACGTTTTGTGTGCTATCTTTATTTATTAAATATCATGTTCTTCGCACTTAACCCTTTCCAACACATACTTTAAAGTGGAATTGAACAAAAAAAAAAAAAAAAAAAAAAATGGTCAGCAGTCAATCAGCCTATAAGATGATTACATGGTAAAATTTTGTAAAAATAGCTCTACGTGTTAAGGCTGTGGGGGCGGAGCAGCGAGCATTGTGGGAAGAAGTAATAGAGTAAAGAGTTTCCCTAAGATTAAAAACATAATCTGAATACGGTAGTAGATTTACTTACCCAGGCGTGCCACGGCCAGCCTGCCTCTACTACCCCCCCAAAAAGCTCTTCTTGAATAGATTACATGTTATAATGAAATATAACTTGGGTATATGATATTTACTTTTTAAGATTTCATTTACCTTTCATCTATTGTTTATGGTGGACTTGAAGAAAGTGACCCCCTTCCAAAAGCACAACCCGACATTGCATGTTTTGCACAGTAAGCGAGATCTCATCGATTCACTATCGAAAGTAATTCTTAGCCTTTCATTCTCAGAAAGGTTAGCCCTCTCCGACCCTTTTCAAAATAAAAAATCAGAAAAAACCTAATATATATCTACAATATAAAATATAAAATTTAAAGTATAAACAAAATGAATAACGTCTCACTCAAAACTATTAAACATGAGCAACAAAATTCTTTGACCTAACAAAAGAGAACTTTTAGTGAAAAACCAAACACTGACATAACTATTTTGCTTCAGAAAATCACCCCCAACATTTCTTTGATAACCAAACCTCCCTTGCCCCCCTGCCAAAAAAAAAAAAAAAAAAGAAAAAAGAGAAAACGGAAATGAATCCAGAGTTGTCCACCTTCTGTATCAATGACCTACCGATGAGCTGCAAGAAACAAGATACAATTTTTGGTCTTGTCTGCCATCATGAGCCCACTCTGGCACCTTGATGCTCGCTGTCATTTTAGAGATATCAAGGTAAAACTTAAAATTATATAGAATAGGAGATAGCATAATCTAGGAAAAAAATAATTTTCGATTCAAACATTCTTTATCGCCCTTAAAAAAAAAAAAAAAAAAAAAAAAACTGGAGATTCTTTGCAAAAGTGGTCCTTTAAAACTAATAGGCTAAAATATATGACAGGTTCATGTGGTGTGCCACTAGCATAAATAAAGAGGTTCAAGTAACCTATAAACTTTTATTCATTGTTCTGTTGTACGGAAGAAATTTTATGTGTGCCCACAAAGAGTTAAACCATAAAATTCAGTTCAACAGCAATATCACAAAATAATTTTTAAATGAGCATATCTTATCTATCTGAGCAGTTGTTTCCAAGAATGCTGGGACAGGACGCAAGCACTCATTGCCGCCCACGCGACATGTATTACTATTACTATATACTACAGAATGGCCCTTATTTAAAAAGCCTGCACCGTATACAGTTCTAAACAGCCATTAATAACATCGAAATGATTAATAAATTCCTTTAATAGTACTCAACTGACATATATTTGGGCAAATTTCAGATTTAGAAAAATTATACTGATTTGTAAAATTAATAATATCAAAGTGAATTAGCATAATTACTAATATAAAAATAAATATACAAATTACTCAAAAGTGAATTTACAAATGCACTTGTGGGTACATTACAATTGCCCTTAAATCATAATTTCTCACAAAATTCCCAGAAATTTCTTGAATAAATGCAAGCATTCCAGTAAAACACAGGTCTAGATAATTGACTGTGACAAAGCATTTTAAAGCTATCTCCTTTAGAAGGGATTATTTTAAAACACTCTAAGGAAAATTGATTTGTATTAATTTTTGTTTTTTTCTTTTTTTCCCCTCAAACAGGTGAGGAATGACAATCAAGCAGCAACTTGTTTAATGTCATAAACAAATTATTTATTCCCACAACGCAGCCGATGAGAGCAACATCAAATATCCAATTTTAAAATACCTTGCAGAAGAGTCAAACTTCTTTTCTTTTAATTTTTTAAACATTTTCTTATAAAATCTTTCTTTTTATATATTTCCTTATTATCCTTAGGTCTAGACCTAAGGATGCTGTATAAAATGTTAATTTTTTTTTAATTTAAAAATGACAAAATATGAACATTTGCATCATTTAAAACATTTTCAAAGAGATTGGTTTATTTGATTACGGCACAGAATGCATTGGCTCTCTACCTAAATGGAAGGGATACCTTCACAGAAGAATATCAAAGAAAAACTGGCTCTTACCAATATGCCTACGCAATCAGCCTCTTCACCTGGAATCAAAGCCAAGTCAGACTACCAGCAATCAGTGATTTTACCATTTGGCCACTAGTGGGCATTTTTTAAAAATGGAAGTGTATCTTTATTACAAACAGTTGCAAAAATAACAGCAGGATAAGAACTTTTACAGATATGGTTGTATGTGTATATATTTATGTACTATAATACTTTTTTTTGCAGCACCTTTACATATATGTGTGTCTTGAAATATGTTCAAGAAATTAAGGCAGAATATTAAAAGAAAAAGAATCTATGTATAAAGTACTAAAGGTATTTTGATATTATAATTTAAAATAAAATACTGCTTTCTTATGGAAACTTTAGAAAATTTAGGATTTTGGAACAAAGCCGATGGCCTGGTCCTTCGAGGAACCAATTCCTTGAACGGCAAACCTCTTTTTCATAAATCTTAGATTATATTGGCATACCTGCCAACTTCGAAATATGAAAAACTGAAAGGTTCTGGGATAAAAACCAGGAGTTTTTCGTGCTACCTGATGGCACCTTTTCAAAAGAACCCCAGACAAACCCCCTTAAATTTGTTGTATAATGCATGTTATACAAATACTTAAGACTCTAATGTAAAACATCTAAATATTTAATTAGATACACAAAATCCTATATCTCTGCTTAATTTCCTTCTTATAATTGTCTTACACTTTTAAACTTGAGAAATACCAAATAGGGAAAGGAAAGTTATAATTTATCGAAGTATTTTGAAAAACAACAAAAATAAAATTAATAATTAATCTACATACTGTTGTGTAGATGAACTTAATAAGGTACATATTAATGTAAAACCAAACTGAATATATATTAACTGATTAAACATTACCTAAATTTTCATATACAGTTCTACATATGTCTACAATATATTAAGGCAATTCAGGTGAAATAAAACTTAATAAGAAAAAGTTGAAATCACTAGGGGTTGGGGAAATAGAATTTAGACAATCTAAGTTTCATTTATTGCTGAAAAAAAAATCGCTTTCATAAATTAAAAAAGGGGGGTTAAAAATTAAAAACTGGAAAATGTGTCAAAAAAGAAAAACTAAGAGAGTTGCCAAAAATGCATTACAATTAGAGTTAAGAAAATTTCATCAAAAACAGAACAATTATGGTTTGGTTTTTACTCCAATGCAATAATACTAGGTATGATAACACAGGTTTAAAAAAATACTAAAAAGGGAATTAAAATATACACACCTGTGCACATAGCCCATTGTATGAAGATTATGAATTGCAAGAACTAGCTCTGCTAGGTAAAATTGACACATGTCTTCAGGAAGAACATTGTCATACTTTTCCAGCAGTGACAGCATGTCACCACCAGGATGAAATTCCATGATCAAATACAGGTTCTGATTGTCTTGAAACGCATATTGAAGTTTTGTCAGCCAAGGACTAGTTGATTTAGCCATAATATCTCTTTCCTCTTCATAAAAGGCTACCTACAAAAATTTAATAATTTTTACATAAAGCAAAGTAACAAGATATTTAGAATCAAAATTTCATTATTTTTGAATAAGGACATAATAAAGTGGAACCTCGGATAACAAGCGCCTCACTTTAAAAACAGTTTGGTTCATGAACAAGTTATTTGAATAAATAAGTGCCTTGAATGACGAACAATGTCTCGAGATATGAAGACTTATTAAATCATGATTCATGATTTTCATGGTGTTTTATGATAATCTATCTCATATAATTAACACTCAGGGACTTCTGGAAACATATTTTTAATATTTCCCATTGCTTAAAACTTATTAACAAAGACTGGAAGCAAGTGATTTACAAGACAATGAATTCTGCCTGGAGGAAGATGTTATTTCAGACATGTAGGATATCCACGAATTCCTCTGGCTCTGATATCAGTTAGAGTATATTTAAGTGTGCCCCTTGGATTATCACTAAGCTGTTGTTTCATTTATCACCAAGTTGTTGTTTCATTTATGGTATGCTGAGTAGTTGAATGTTTTGGAAACCCTATTATGACATAATTGGTTGTGTGATTGCTGTGAATTTGAATGACGGGAAAAGATGTGTGAAGGCTTGTTTGTGTGTTGGATGTTGGTCAGGACAGCGATTGCCAACCTTTAGAACTTCACGAACCACTAAATGTATAATTTCTTATTTGGCGGACCACTAATATGAATTTAGGGTAAAAAAAAAGGTAAATACATTTATATAATAATAACCAGAAACCATTTATTTCATTAATGTGAAATGCAGCTATTAAAGGTAACAAAGTTGTACAGCAATTATTTAAAAAATGAAAAATTTAAGATTATTTTAAGTATTACACATTTTTAGTGTGATATCTGTTCCTGTTTGTTTGAAATTAGTTTATGGATTTTTTTTTTCGGGGGGGGGGGTAAGGGTCTATATTACAGCAAAAAGAAGAGCCACGTTTATTTCAAGCTGAGATCTGTGCAGAGTTTTAATTGCTGTTAAATTGTAAACACCTTTTCGTGCAAATATGTTGTTAAAAATTTTCATTCCATTTCCACTCACTGATGGGTATTCATTTTTTATAGAGAGACAAAAATAAGGTCTTAATAAAGATTGCTGGAATTTAGTTTTTAAATTGTCTCGCAAAACAGATCAATCTGGCTTTCTTTTTCATTCATGCTGAATTTGCTATCTTCAGTGTTTGCTGACAATGGATCCATTATCCACATATTTCCTTGCCTAGGATCATTTTACTTTAAGTAATGACCAAAACATTCTGCCAGTGACTGTAAGTGCTGTTGAATAATGGATACTACTTGCTGGTTGAGATCTTTCTCTCCCATACTTGCATTAAAATTTATAAACATTTGTATATTTCCTTTTACAATGTTTGCCACAGCGATATTGTTTTTGAAAAGCATCATTTTACTTGTACTGTAAACACGTGCTTAAGTTGCACTTGCATATGTTTAGTTCTAATAACAGAGGAAAAACATCTGCCAGGTATGCAAGCTTGGCTACTCACTCATCGTCGGACAAGAGTTCTTGAAATTCCGGATTATTCTGCTGCTGAAAAATAATTTGATTTCTTCACACAGGATGAACAGTCGAGTCAGTATTTGGCCCCTTGAAAGCCATCTCACCTCAGTGTGAAGAAAAAAGGTAATTATACAGGGAACCCATTTCTTCACAAAATGTTTCAAATAGTCAAGAATTAATTGCTTTGTGTCGAATTTCATTTATGATATTAATAACATCTGATAATACTTGGTGCAGTACTGGGGCATTTTTTTTTTACCACAAGATGCTCAGTATGTATAATGCAGTGTGTAGACAAAAAGTCTGGATGACTTACATTTTTCACCTTTGCAACAACTCCTGAGCAATGTCCAGTCATGTTCAGTTCAATCCTGGGCTGAAGAGTTTTAGCAGACTTATTACTTTCAGTTTAGGAATTACTATTAGTTTCTGTACAGCTTTTTTTTTTCCAAAAACCTTTTCATAAGCTTGCAATACACAAGGCTTAAATAATTCTTCTCCGTATATGGCTTTTTGTTTTTCGCTATTTGAAGTGCTATCAGATAGAAAGCCTTTGATACGGACTTATCTTAAGGAAACATATTTTTAAGGTATCTATACATTTTTTGAAAATATTCAAGTAATTTCTCAGCTAAATTTGGGTGTTTTGATTCCAAGTGTTTTTCGAATTTTGAAGGTTTCATGGCATCATTAGATTCTGAGAACAGGTAATACAAAAAAGCCGTGGATTCAGCTAACTACCGGGTTCTGGAAAAAATCTAAATTTCAAAGTAGTCTGAAACATTCCCCCCCCTACCTCCAGTTTGTTTAAACTTTCTTTCTAATGCTGTCTGAACGTGATGAGGAACGTAGATGCTTTGATTCATTAATCACCTCCCAGTAAGTGAAATACTGTATTTGCCAGTGTATAAGATACACTTTTTTCCTTTGAAAATATGTCTGAAAAACGGTGTGCGTCTTATGTGTCGTTTGTGAATGGGTCAAAGCTTCATGGGATGCTGTGAAAACAGAGACAGTGGTTAAATCATTTAAGAAGTGTGGCATTAGCAATGTACTGGATGGTACAGAGGACAATTTGTTGAATGAGGATTAAGATGCTGATTTAGAAGAGGCTTCAAGTGACTCTTCATTTAGCTCTGGAGATGAGTGTCTGGATTTGACAAAAAAGATTGGCTAATCTTTGGAATATGGTAACAGGTAGTTTGGCGACATTTTGGTAAGGCGATAAAGGTTACTAGCTAGGACTTTAGCAATAATCTTTGAAGTACACAGCTCGAATCACAGATTATTTTGTCTCGGAGAAATGATAGATTATGAGACATGTAATGTGAGATTTTCCGGAAAATTCCGATCGTGATTTTAACTAATAAGAACTTAAAAAACAATTTCGCTGCTAAAGTGCAGAATCGCCTACTTATTTGTTTGGCGTTTTTTACAAGAGTAAGAAAAATTGGATTATTGTCAATTTTCTTTGGCTTTTTAAGTGAAAATAGGTCAATGTGTACATAGATAAAGTCAAGAGTGTGCGCAATGCCATTTTTGTGCAATTCTGGGATTTTTTTTAAGTGAAAATAGGTCGACGTGTACATGGACACCGTGTATGTGCAATTCTTAAAAACACGGCAAGCAGTTTGCGATTCTGCACTTTCTCCCAATTTTGCACCTAATCTTCGTCATAATTAAGCATTTTTGTTCCATAAAAGTTCTAGTATAAGCGTAATTTGGCTAGCAGATTGTTGGAAAAAATTTTGAGTAAAAAAAAAAAAAAGAACATGCCTTTACTTCGTGAAAACAAAATGGCGTCCAAAACAAAACTAGCAGGTTGCTATAGCAGAGTTGGTCGCCACATTTTCGCCAAAAAATCGCCAAGTTATTATAATCCGAAGATTCACCAAAAGATTAAAAGGTGTTCTTTCCCAGATACATTGGGTATTTGCAGAAACCATTACTTTGTATTTGTATTATTTTATATTTAAAATATTGTAAATTCATTATAATAATCAGTAATAAAGTTTTATCTTTCAAAAATGTGTACAAAAAAGAGGCTGCGTCTTAGATGCTGGCAAATACGGTAATTCCAATTTCACTAGTTATTCTATCTCTAGTTTTACTAAAGAAAGGCAAAATATTTGCTTGCTTTTCTCACTCATTATGCGTCTACTATCTATTTTATTTGAATCTGAAAACCATAAAAAAATTAAAGAAAATTATTAACGAGTGGAAAATGCCTGTAAAAAGAGCACAAATTATGTCCTAATTTTTTTGCAGATCATCAAAAATTTTCCATGGATCACTAGTGGTGACCATCAGTTGGTGACTGTGGGGTTAGGAAGTACATTGTTATTTTGCGATTTACACAGTAAAATGGCTGAATGTGGTAAGATTAATTTGAAGTTTCTGTACGATTTGGAATGAAAAAGGAAAAGCACTAATTAACTAGTGTGTAAATGAAGGTTTACTTAGTAGCCATTATAAGTGTCCCGTTTGTACGAAGAAAATGCGTATGGTCGAACATCGGAGGATACTGGCACTATAGAGGATATTTTTTACTTTTATTTTTGTGAATTTATGTGGCGATGCCAGTATACAGATTCTAGTTCAGATAATTTTAGGAAGTTTTGGGATGCTGTTAAGGAATTATGTTTTACTGAAGACTTGGAAATTTCTAAATCTGGTAAGCGGATATTTCTTTTTGTGTAGTACTAAGATAAATTTCCTTTTTTATGCTATTTGATTGTTTGACTTAAAATGTAGTTTATTGAGATTATATATTTTTTGTTGGCTGTTCCATTGACTTTTTTAGTGAAAATAAATCGATGTGTACATGGACAAAGTCACGAGAGTGTGCAATGCCAAGTTTGTGCAATTCTCTGATTTTTTTTAAGTGGAAATAGGTCGATGTGTGCATGGATACCGAATTTGTGCAATTCTTCAAGTTGTGTGCAATTCTTCAAGTTGCTTTGTGTAGCAGCGATTTTTGTCCCAAAAATCGCCACTACATAAAGTCAAAATAACAAGTTGAACAATTGCACAAACTCGGTGTCCTTGTACCGCCAAAAATCGCCAATTTTCGCCAAGGGGCACCCGTAAATATATTTTTACCCTGAGGTCTTACTTTTCTGGCACTTGCTTTAGCTTTTTTGAACATTATAATATTTGACAAAGTGGGGTATCTACAAAAAATTCCTTATGCTTTACTCTTTTTACAGTGCACCATGGCAATCACGATTCCACCATTATTTGGAATATTTTGCCAGTTTCCCTGATGTTTTAGGTATAGAGAGTGTAGCTGCCTGAAAACAACATTAGTAATGCCTTTCATTGCATCATCAATGTGCACATCTTTTATCATTTCCTTTAGGAGCCCTGCCACAGATGAAAATAGTTCTGCCTGCTCTATCAAGTAGAAAACGAGATCTTCACATAGGGTTTACTCCTATTTGCGCAAGGGATACAAAAATGGGAAAATGATCTCTATTATATGGATCATTACTAACACTAAATGTATCACAAAAGGACAAAAGAGACGGTGAACAGATGGCAGGGTCAAGAGTATGAAATGACCTTGTAGGCTCATGGAAGTACATGCCTTTTTCATTATTGTGGAAATAAAGATTCCTTCGATCATCTGCTCAATTTGTCTTCCTCAAGGATTTGTGTCCTCATTTTCCCAGAGCAGTGACTATGACTGCTTGCCAATTTTCGCCAAGTCGCCTATCATAGCAGACTATGACTGTTAAAGGTTCAGGCAGCTGTTTTACAAGATAATTTAAATCCCACTGATAAATATGATCATTCGGAGCCAAATAAAGAGAACAGATTAAAACTTCAGTATTCAAATTTGTTTCTGTAGCAGCAACTTGGAGGGACACTGTCAAAGAAAGTGCATTTAATAGATAGTCAAGCGAGGACAGCAGACTTACACCTTCACTGCCACTCACCTGCTAGATTATCTTTCCTAGTGAAATAATATCTTTTGCCTTGACCTGTACATCAACCTCTTTGTAGGCAACCGGCTGCAGCCCGGTTGCCACTGACTTTCGTTTCAAAACTTTGACTGCATGCATAACTGCCGCTTGGATTTCACTGGAGGAAAGGCACTCCCATGGATCAACTTTGGAGGTAGAGGTGCAATAACATTTTAAGGGCTTGCAAAAGCCCAGTCTGAGAGTCTCCTCACTCTGGCATACTGCCTGGTCAGTCCATCAACTGACCTTTCTTATGCATCTTGATCCACCGAGCAGTACAGACATTTTGCCAGGATTACGCATCGACAAAAGTTTTATGTACTGAAACAGATATAGCAACTTGCCCAAGATTGGATCCTTGAAGCAGAGAAGCAAACTGCATAACCAAAATCATATCAATTTGCAAAGCTCCCAAACGGAGATGCTTTATGTGTCTTGGCTCAACAAAGCATGCCTGAATATGCTTGTTTATTACAATGGAAAAATTTTTTGCAGTTTACCAGAAGAATAAATAATACAAGGAAATGGAGTCTGTTACTGGTTTCATTGCCATTAGTGAAGGTATATATTCATTTCACAGATATATTACCAGATTCAGTATTTTGTTTCTAAACTTCACTGCTTTGAGGTTTTTCCATCATGCTAATATGTACATTTGTTGAAGCCATATTTGAACAAAGAAAAAATTCGGGTCCGAGTGCTCCATCCACCATCGAACCCTACAAGGGAAAAGAGAATCCTGTGTTAATGCTAGCTATATGTATACGCAAAATGAAGCGCCACAGTTGGTTTTCTCGAAAGCTATCGTATGTTATCCCCAAGTCATAGATACTAAGGTCGGAAAACAGCAGATTGACACCAGTGAAAACAACTATATGCCTCCTGTTTAGCCAAAGCAAAGGCCAAAGTAAAGAATTGAGAACAGTACCTCACTCCTCAACTACTAGGACCCTCCTTTCCAATGGCACAAGTCTCTACGCATGGCAAACACATGGACAGTTTTCTTGCCAGTCGTAGCTAAAATGAGAGCTTTAATAGCCTATTATAGCGAGTCCCAACCTCTAAAGAGGAAAACCACAGGGGAGAGAAACAGGAGATAGTAGTAGCTAAGAGGAGAGGAAAAGAGAGTAAATCATTAGGGATCCAGGATCGTGACACCCGTCTCACCAAGATGATCCCCTGAAGGTTTAAGTTACCTTTGAACTGCCACACCCATACTCACAAAAAGTGAACCTCTGTGGGCAGTTAAATGAATTAAAATATTAAGTAGGTTGATACATAATTGGAAAAATTGCTTGCCATAAGGAATGATTAAAATCTTTAATATATCTCGAAAAATGAAAAGAAATCTCTTCACAAACTCATCTTCAAAACCAAGAAACGAAACCCAACAGACTGAACTTCTGCCTCTCAGAATTAATCTCTTTGTTATCATTAATGGGAAGTGAAAATAGAATTATCATTCTTGTTGAATTTCAAGCTGACATAATAGTCTCCCATACTTTCATGAAGAAAGTTTTCCTAACAATTGAATGGCTTTAGATTAATGATAAAGACAAGTCATTTTATCTGCATTTCATTTTTTTCTTGCATTTGAGGAATTTAAATAACAAATACTTCAGTTACATACCAACAATAATACTTAAATAACTTTATCTCTTTATTATTCCTTCAAAACATGAGATTAAAAATATATCAATAGACAAAAAAAATGAACAAGTTATTGAAGCAATTATTTTTCTATATATATTTTTCATTTTCTATTTCAATTTTCATTTCATTTTATGGTGTATTTTATTTTTATCTTTAAATACTTAAAAGGTTATGCAGAACGAAGCATGGTTACAGCTCTCTTGGATTATTCAAGTTTGATATTTCAGATTATTACTCTTTGAGAAAACAGTTTGAAACATAATACAATATAGATTATTTATATTTTTATATTATTGGTATTTCCACGAATAGTAACGGATCATTTCTAATTTTGATTTATAATTGAAATGTAATAGGTTTCTTTGTACAATTTTAGCATTTTCTGGGATGATTTAATCTACTTCTACTAAATTATTAAGTTTTTGAGAAAATAGTGATATATATAATCGTAGAAATTCAACTAAGAAAATGAATAAGTAATAGATACTTTTTTTGCAATTGTATTTACATTTTGTTGAGAAAGAGTTTCTTGCTTGCGAAGCACTTTCATGGCATACACATCTCCAGTCGCTTTCTCTCGCACCACTTGAACTTCTCCAAAATGGCCCCGGCCAATAATCTTCTTAACTTCAAAATCTTTCAGATTTACTCGCAGGGATTTTAGTTCAATCATTACACCTTTAACTGTTTTTATAAAGAGGAAAAGAAATCCATGATTTATTGAGCAAAGCCTCTAATTATTATAGACATTTCAGAGATTAATATTACTTCAATTTTATAAAAGCAAAGAACCATCATTATCTGGAATTTGCAATAAGTTTATGTTTGGGTTTAATTGGCAGATTTTAACAGCCATTAAAAAAAAATCAATTTGAGAAACAGACTTCAATAAAAATAAATAATAATTGCTGTAACCTTTACCAGAAAAATACAACCTGACATTTCAAATTGACCATACCAAAGTCAGGCCCGCACTAAGCCTAATCGGCGCTGTCGTGCAAATGTCTAGCGAGGGCCTTTATGCAGTGGCGATATTAAAGGGACATTGCTTATAATTAACATTTAAAATGAAGCATTATTAACATAATATGAAAAACAAACAACAAAAAAAACATTTTATCTTTTATCTAAATATGAAAATATTTTGTGCTTTGTTAAAAACCACACTCAAACATATTCATTGAAGAATTATACATTCATTTATGTTATAAAAAGCCGCTCAACCGATACAGTGGTTAGCGTTGCTGACTGACGTGCCGAAGGCCTCGTGTTTGAATCCCAGAGAAGACATGGATGTTTGTAAATGTATAGTGTACATGCGGCATGGAGGCACTCAAAATAGGCGAGGCGAAAGTCCTTTTGAAGGGATGGTGGTAGGGAAGAAGAGGTGGGAGACTTTTTGACCCCCTCAGGGTGCTCTCTATCAAAATTGGGGATGAAACTGAGCTAAATCGCACTATCACCTGTAAGGTGCTCAAGGCTGTTGCCAACGACAGACGTATCTTGCAATCATTGCCACGAGGAATTTTGTAGGCTTGGGCTGACTATAGGCCAGACAAGTGAGCATTAGTCAAGAACAACATGATATAAAAAAGTAACATTGCAAGCGAAGTGAAATAATATACAAAATGCATTGCATGCCAAATATCTAGCTGAACATTATTTTTTATCTTAAAAACAAATTAATATACATATCTAATAAGCTTGCACTGAATAAATTGTTGTTCGCAGCGTAGTTTACGACAAGGTTCAAACTGTGATTACAACAGGGCCCAAACAATGCTCTAGGGCTGATATCTAGGGATATATCCAAAATTCTTTTCTGCACACCGCTATGTTGTTGACAATGATATAGCGTAGAGTTTCAACTGGCGACGCTACATTTCCTCCAAAAGTTTACGAAAACTGCAGTTCATGCATAAGACCTATACTATTTATATCACTTTGATTTTTATCAGTTAATGCTTTTTGCAGTTTTTGATATAAGTTGAGATGATCTTGTAAATACACTTTTGCAAAAAAAATCGAAGCACCAAGAAGGACTTTTGCAATCGTGACGAAATTTGGTATGCAAAAACAACTTAATCGAATATGCAAATGATCAAAGTTTCAAGGCAAATGAACAGGAATTGCGATCATAGCGTGCATTTCTAGTGTGCAATTTGCAAAGTATAAAACCAGTAACAGAGGTGGCAAATTTATCTTTTTTTTTTTTTTTTTTTTTTTTTTTTTTTTTTTGTTGCTGCCACTGCAATTCCATAAAGAAGCAAGTAAAGATGCCATTACGACAATATTGAAGACCTTACAGACAACTAAATGACTTCGAACGCGGTCGCATTGTAGGGTTGCGTGAAGCTGGGTTGTCATACCGAGCAAAAGGCCGCCACCTGCAGTGCACAGACACTGCTGTGCAAAGATGTTGGCAGCAATGATTGCTACAAGGAAATTGCTGACGAAATGAAGGCTTCGGAAGGCCAAGGAGTACAAATGCAAGGCATGATAAAACCAGCGGTATCATTGTTGACTATTCATGGTACCTACAGCCACGTCTATACCTCCCGTGGTACCGTCCACCATCTCACGGTGCTTGTCCTGAGGCGGGGTTATGCTAACGGAGGCCTTTAAGACGTTTGCCTTTGACCCCACCACATCGACGGAGTCGTCTGGAGTGGTGTCGCAGCTGATCATCATGGCTGCTATCAGATTGGCATCGTATAGTGTTCAGCGACAAATCCCGCTTCACTCTTGAAGCAGATGACCACCATGTTCGTGTCTGGAGAGGACGGGGCCAGCAGTCCCAATCAGCCAATCAAAAGCATACAGACATAACCCCTGGTGTGATGGTGTGGGGCCCTATTTCTTATGAAAGCAGGTCATCTTTAGTCATCCTCCGTTCATCTTTAACATCTCAACGATATGTTGATACCATCCTGCAGACGGTTGCATTACCATTCATGGCACGTCATCTTGGGGCCATTTTCCAACAGGATAATGCCAAGCCACATACCGCTCACATATCACTGGACTGTCTCCGTGCGGTTGATACTCTTCCTTCGCCAGCAAGGTCATCAGACCTTTCACCAATCCAGAATGTCTGGGAGATGGTACCGCCAGATTCGGAAATATCGCAGATCTGGAGCGACAACGGATGAATGCCTGGCAGAATGTGTCGCAGGATGACATTAGGAACCTCTACCACTCCTTACCTCGGCGAATTCAAGCATGCATTGCCACCAGGGGTGGTTCGACCAACTACTAATTATAACATTCGGTGGGTGATTGTAAGCCGTGAACAGGTGATATGACCTTGATTTTTTAATCATTTAATTATCTATGTATGAGCTATACACATATTCAATTTCGTCAAAAACAACAACTTCCTTCATGGTGCTTCCTTTTTCTTGCAAAAGAGTGTATACGTGAATGACAATTCGTGATGCCGATGCGTATGTGAGGGTACAGGGGGCACCGTAGACGCGTTCGACAAATTGCTTAGTCCTTATTTTGTTCTACAGTGTTTAGTTATTTGGGCAACATTTATCTTCTTTTTTTGGGGAGGGGGGGTTGATTGCTTGTTATTGTTATTCTACGTAAAAAAAAGGTACGAGCAGTTACATATTATGTTAAACTTAGGTTAGCTTTTTAATTCAGAAAAGTGGCGATTTGAGCATAATTACTCGAAAAATGTGTTTCTTTTTACATGAACCATTTGTTTATTATAGTAAAAATACTTATCTTTCGAGAAGAAAGGATTGACATATTTACAGAGTACCAGTGAATTTAAAATATACCTATTTGAGATTTGGAGTGAAGTAAAAATACAGAAGGTATTCTGAAATCAAAAACTGGCCATTTTCCGATTTTGAGCTATACGGAAAACCGAAGGAAAACGTTTCGTCATTTTCATTGTCTTTAAATTTTATTTATTTACTTTAATAAACAAAACAGTACCACCCCCTCCTTGAATTATTTGGTACTGACCTAATAATTAATATATTTTCCAAGCAATGGTTAAGATATACTCACTTTTTCAGAAGTAAGGTAAATTATTTCAGTGACTTTCCAAATGTTTTTAAGAAGGAGTGTTTTACGCAATAGCTCTTATAATAGTTATTTTCTGCTTATATGTTTATTTCCACTTTTTCTGTTTTCATTTTTCCCTAGATGTCAGAAGAAAAAATTGTTTGAGTATCAGAATGTAAGAAGGTTAAAAAAAAGGTGAAAGGTAGACCTTAATATACCAGAACTTTGAAATTACTCAGTTTTTCCAAAACCCTAAGAATACCCAAGCTGATGCTACTAGCACTAGTTGTCCATCAAAGTATCAGCTACCATTGAAATTACCAAAAGAACCTAATAATCAGAAAGAGTTTAGAAAGTGTTTTCACCCGAGAATTACCTTTAACTTCAATGCAGACGGTCCAAAAAAAAAAAAAAAAAAAAAAAGAATAAATACTATTGAAATCTACAATTTCTGCAGTAGATATGCATTTGTCTGTGTTTAATGATTCTGGATTATGCCCAAGTGCATTACTACCATCCCAAGTTAGAGACGTTAATAGAAAATGGTCCTTGGAGATAAAATTCAAAATAAAATAATTAGCTTATTAGGGAATAATACAAAGCAAATTATTTTAAATAAGGTCAAACAGGCAAAGCATTTTTCTATTTTACTTGATTTGACCCCTGATGCCAGCCATCAAGAGCAGATATCAATTTGTACGAGGTTTCTTAATTTAGAAAATACAGACATACTGTAAAGTGCTGAAGAAAGGTTTTTAGTATTTTGTATTACCACAGATACGTCCAGTGGAAGACGAACAACGTTCTTATTAAAGACTTTAGAGGAAAATGGTTTAGATGTTAGTAATTTACGCGACCAAGAATACTACACAATGGTTCAAATATGAGAGCTAAACAGTTTTTGAGTACCGTAATTTCCGGAAGAAAGGCCGCATCAGCGTAAACGCCGCACTCGAGAAAAATGGCGGGGAAAAAAATTAAAATTACACAGAAACGCCGCATCAGCGTAAACGCCGCAATAGATTTGTGGAGATCGTGTGGGCCAGATAAAAAACCTCACCTGTCCTGATATATGAATACCAGTTAAGAAAAATGCATGAAATGAAACCATAACTCAAAAATGAAATTAAGGTAGAAATGTAATAGCTTCTGTGCCGTTTAGAGACATTTCAAAAATTTTCCGCTCCCTATTAAAACTATCTAACAAGTACTTGTACCCAAAATGATGGATCTGTATTGGCGAATGCCAAGAAAATCAATTCATGCTGAGGAAAATACGTCAGAGTTCGTTTTTCGAGCAGGGGAGTCGTGTCCGCCTTTGAAAAAATTGCAGAAAAGGCAGGGTGGGGAGAGGATGGGTCCTGGAAATTCATCAATGGCAGAGAGAGATATTCAAACGATGAGAAGTTTTTTTTGAAGGGGGAAGAATGTTTGTTCTGAGATCTCGTTAGGGTAATAAAGGCATGTAGGTCCGTTCAAGGGAAAGAATGTAAACAAAATAACATTCCCAAAGCAACTGAGTGGGTCTTTTGTGTGGGAACAGCACCAGTCTATGCCACCAAACTATGTACAATGACCATCATAGGAAATATTTTATTTTTAGTGCACCTAAACGCCGCATGGGTAGAAATGCCGCACCCGCTGAAAATTTAAGTTTTAAA